TAAGCCAGGATAGACATTTTAATACTGTCTGTTTAAGACAATGCAAAAACTGTAATTGGGTGTGGTTTCTCAAACGGCCATAAGATGGAGCCAGAAACCTGGGTTGTCTTAGTCTTAGTCTCAGAAGAAGTCTCAGTGAGCCTCTCTGTTTCCTTCTGTTGGAGAGTATTGCCGTTCCTTCTATTGACTGCTATTCTTGGATTTGATGTAAGTCTGATACTGAACTGTTTATGATACTGGACTTTGTAATTGGATTATCCTTAGACTGAAAACTGACTGATCTTACCTGTGAATGACTTTGGACTGCCAATTTTGAACTTTGCTTAAACCTTTCTTGAAAGTAAAAAACCTACACTTACTGTAAAGTGTATCTGTGTGCTGTGTGTGTATTATTCAACACTTCTCTCAATACATGCGCTCATTCTCCTAACAGGGAATTATCTCAACACAAGTTGTTCCAGTGATTAATTGTTCTGCTAGGAAATTTGTCCTTAGTTCTAGGTTGGTTTTCTCTTTGATTAATTTCCATCCCTTGCTTCTTGTGTTGCCTTTAGGACAAGAAGCATTGGATGAATAGGTTGCTTCTTTGTGGCAGCCCTGTAGATATTAAAACATTGCTATCATGTCACCCCTAGCCCTTCTTTTCATTAAATTAGACACACCCAATTCCTGCAATCATTCTTCATATGTTTTAGCCTCCAGTCCTTGAATAATCTTTGTTGCTCTTTTCTGTAGTCTTTCTAGAGTCTCAACATCTTTTTTATATCATGACTGCCAGAACTGGATGCAATATTGCAAGAGTGGTCTTACCAAGGCATTATAAAGTGATAACAGTTCATCTAATCTTGATTCTACCCCTCTATTAATGCAGCCAAGGACTGTGTTGGCTTTTTGGGCAGCTGCAGTACACTGCTGGTTCATATTCAAGTGATTGTTCACTAGGACTCCAAGAACCCTCTTGTAGTTACTACTGTTGAACTCGGTACCACCTATTCTATACCTGTGTATTTGGTTTTTCTGCCTAAGTGTAAAACCTTACTTTTCTCTACATTAAATTTCATTTTGTTAGATAGGGCCCAATGCTCAAATCTGTCAAGATCCTTCTGTATTTTGAGCCTACTTTTTATTTTCATTAAGCTACAGTTAAGTTAGGATGCTTACTATCCAATCACATTATTTAATATTTTCTCCCTTCGGACTTATCAAAAATGATAATTGGTGCAAATTGGGGAGAGAATTCTGAAGCCTACAGTTAAAGTTTTTAGGGCTACATGAGTCTTATGCTGTCATAAAATTTAAGAGCTGTATAGAAATCTACAAATGAAAAAAGATGAATATTAATTGAAAGGAAAAAATTACCGTAATCCATGAGAACACAAATGTTATTTGTTAAATTATTCCAAATTACGTCTCGATTCATAAATCCATCATAGGCGATTCCTATAACTATTCCTATGAATCATACAGACATGAAAATAGAATTACATATAAATCTGGAAATTAATACATAGTACAGTATTATATGCTTCCCATTTCTATTAGTGATCTAGAATTTTCAGAGGTGAAACAGTTTTGGATTCCTGTGGATGAAGAGAAATAAGACATTTATTTCATATTTGATTTTACAGGATAGGTGGAGACATAACACTGCAAAAGGAGCAACATTTATTATAATCATAGCTCATCTCTAGATGGAAACCCTTCTGCATCTTCAGGAGTTTTCAGAATATAAGAGCTCAACTGAATTTCTTGTTCTGCCTGAAAACTTAACAAAACGTGGTAGGGGGAGGTGAGTAGCTAAACAGATTACCATGGAGGTTATGTGCAAGATTCTGAATTCAATTCAGCTAAGCCAGAAAGAGATCAACTCAAAGACCATGTGGAAGTGTCCTCAGTCAACAAATTTCCCAACAGAAGAACTACCGTATTTCTATGGAGTTTCTCAGTCATCCAGATCATGGTTATCTCAAAGGTGCTTTTTTCTGTCAAAAGGTAAAACTGTTTTTTCCTTGAGGAAAAAGAAAAGGTTTTGCTTCTCACCCAAGAAGCTTCATCAGTTCTGGCTAGATAGTGGTGGTGGTGGTGGTGATGGTGGTAGGGAAATGGAAGGATTAGTTCTGACCAGTCATCAAAATTCATCCTTTCATTTCCCCCCCACCCCCAGCCAGCTAGAACTGAAGAAGCTTCTTGGATGAAAAATGGAACGTCTTCTTCATCAAGGAAATAACATAGTCCAGTTTTAGGGGAGGGAAAAGCACCTTTGAGACAACCAGCAGAAGAAAGTTATACAAATTGTTTTAGAACTAGTCACAAGGTTCACCATTTTAGCATTCCTTGAAATTACTGTTATAACCAATAGCAGGGATGGGATCCAACTGGTATAACTACCGGTTCTGTCGCTCTGCATCGCACGCATGAGTCACACAAGTCGCGCGCGTGCAATTTACGACCTGCTGAGATGCCTGGATAGCTGGGCAGTGCTGCGTGCAAGTGCGCAGCGATTGGAAAAGCCCTTTTTTCCTCCTTTTTCAACCTCAGCTGTGTCTCACAAAGCAGCTGTGTTTGAAAATGCAGGAAATAAAGGTCAGGTAAGAGCCCGGGCAGGTGGGCGGACCAAAACAGCAGCACACATAGAACCAGTTCTATGTATGCACTCTGTTTGCTGCTCTTCAGAGCAACCGGTTCTACAGAAGTAGACAGAACCGGTAGAATCCCACCCCTGACTAATAGCCTCTTGGAGATTATAGCTAACTAGAAAGGTAGGAAAGCAAGTGAAAGGTAGGAAAGAAGCCTGATGCACTGGGATCTTCACTCCTTCTCTCAGAGGGTGGTTACTTCCCCCCCCCAAAATGGATGTCCTTGTGGAAAAGAAAGAACACATGCAACTACCAACACAGAATCCTGCTCAGCAGGATTCTTTCCTTGCTCAGCTTCAGTTAGAAAAAATGAAAATGTGGTCATGAAGTACCAATTTGAAACTAATCTGGAAGTCCCAAAGGTGCTTTTTCAGGAGGGATCTGGACTGGTTTTTTTTCTTTGAAGATGTTTTGCTTCTCATTCAAGAAGCTGATTCCAAATTGTATAGCTAAAAGAGATTCTCAGTCATCCAGGTCATGTTTATCCCAAAGGTGCATGAATACCAGTGGTGGGATTCAATTTTTTTTATTACCGGTTTTGTGGGTGTGGCTTGGTGAGAGTGACAGGGGAAGGATACTGTAAAATCTCCAGTCAGAGGTGGTATTTCCCGGTTCTCCAAACTACTCAAAATTTCCACTACCGGTTCTACAGAACTGGTCAGAACCTGCTGAATACCACCTCTGCCCTGAGGGACATTTTTCAGTTCTATCTTTTTTGCTTTCCATCTTTTCAAGAACAGCAGTCTCCACAAGTTTAATTAGAACTATACTGTATCAACTGTGGGTTACAGTTCTCCAGAACTGGTCAGAACCTGCTGAATGCCACCTCTGGTGAATACCCTTCGAATGGTGTGAGAGTATGAATGGATTTCCAGAAAAATTGCAGACTACAGGAGCACTACTCACAGATAAACCTCCAAGTGCTTCAATGACCCTCAGAAAGGATGCAAATGACAAGCTGTCTGCAAGGAATATAAATCCTTCCATTCCCTACTGTCCTGTCAGAGCTGAAGAAGCTTCTTGGATGAGAAGCAAAATGTCTTCAAAGAAAAAAGAAAAAAGTCCAGTTGCCTCTTGTTAAAAAGCACCTTTGGGACAACTATGACCTGGGTGACTGAAAATCTCTACAGACTAATCTGGAAGGTGCCAAATTTCTTACACTTTTGCTTGTCTCTGGGTATGTGTGTACTTGAAATAAATTAATTTAATTCTTGTATTTATAGATTTCTGGCCTCAATAAAATAGCTTGTAATCTTAAGCACACCATAACTGTGCAATCCTTTACAGGCTTAAAAGACAAAGTCTGTTAGGAGTTCACATATTTATTCAAAAATTAAACCCACTGAGTTCATTGTGTCTTATTCCTAAATAAGCACAGATAGTTCTCGACTTACAACAGTTCATTTAATGACTGTTCAAAGTTACAACAGAACTAAAAAAAGTGGCCATTTTTCACAATTACGACTATTGCAGCATCGTCACGTGATCAAAATTGGTAATCGACTCGTATTTATGATGGTTGCGGTATCCTGGGGTCATGCAGTCATCTTTGGTGACCCTCTGGCAAGCAAAATCAATGGGGAAGTTGTACAGTAACACTGTACAAACGTGTGACTAACTTAACAATTGCAGTGATTCCATTAATAACTGTGGCAAGAAAGGTTGTAAAATGGGGCAAAATTCACTTAACAACTGTCTCGCTTAGTAACCTAAATTGTGGTCATAAGTCGAGAACTATCTGTATGAATGGGAACGTGTAGTGGCATTTGGTTCTGAGTACACATATATTAGATGACCTTATTGGATAGCAAATCTATCATTGTTGGTGGTTATAGCTATGTAACACTTATCAAGACTTAGTTCCAAGATGCTGCACTTACCTTTATCGCGATTTTTATAAATCACACCAATTATTGCTACATCACTTGCACAAGGACTCTTTGTTATTCTCAAATTTGTTATCTCAGATATTGTTTTCGTAATATCTACGTAAGTACCAAGTTTAAAAAGCCACTGAAGAATTGGCTCTGTAAAATATGAGACAGTGAGGTTAATATGTAAAAAATGTGTATTCTGCACAGTTTTGTAACTTTACTATAAAATACAGATAGAGAATGAAAATACAGATTTTCATTGTTAAAATGAATGAAAATATATTTACAGCCCCATTATTATGAGCCAAATACTAAATACTATGTATCTAGTATCTAAATTCCAATACTTCCTGGAGAATAATGCCATTAAAAAAAACCCAAAGCAATGCTATCTGTCCTTCATATTTGATTTTGGATTTATTTGTCCTAAATTCCAGGAATTAAAGTCACTTGAAAATCTATCTCAGCTGCCAGCAAACAAATCTTTCTTCATGAACATAGAGTCTTAGCCATTTGGATGACCACCATTTAATATCTGAACACTTTCAGAAAGCTTTGAACTTAATGTAGCTACTACAAGTAATTTTCCTGGAATGTAGCTATAACTTACCTCGCATTATATCCAATAATGTTCCTTTAGTGGTAAACATACCTAACCCATGATGCATATTGAATTTTAAAAACCATTCCTCTACTGGAGCAATATCTAGTCAAACAGGAAATAGAAAATGAGTATAATTCCTATGAACATCTAAGTGTAATATTAACGTCTTTCTTTAATATATGATACACCCAGGCATTTTCAATGGACTTATTAGATGGATTTTTCAGTAATGAGTATGTTTTCATATTTGGAGGTTCAAGTCATTTTCTTATTTATATTAGCATTTACATTTATATTTATCATTTTATATTGTTTATGGTTAATATGACATAATAAAATAAATGGAAAAGATCACACTACTGGAGCACTGGTGCAAATTAAACTAAGAAAGCAGCAATAATCCCATTAGAAGAAACAGGCTATTATAACAATCTCTCACCGGTATTATATGTAATCTTTTCTCTAGGGATATTAATAGACCATGAATCCACTTCTTCGCCTTCTTCTCCCTTTAGAAATTATGTCAGAAAAAGACTTTCAGATTTTTAAACAGCTATAGTCATTTATACATGAACCAATCTTTTAATCAAATTTATTGCTTGATGCTTAGGTGCGGATAAACTGCTCTTGAATAGGTAATGAGCTCCTTGGGAAAAATTAGAAACAGAAAAATGCAATTTTTTTATTTATATTTATATCTTGCAAGAACTACATTTATTTATTTATTTATTTGATTGGCCAATTGTTTACAAGATAATAAGTATAAGTGTATACATAGTTGTGA